GCATATAAAAAACTTGCCTGGAGACTAAATAATCAATGTTTATATTCTGTTTCAACAATGAAATATGATAAAGGAAACCAACATGGAGAAATATATTTACATTATATTCAAAAAAAAAACAAAAGAATTTGTAAATAATGGAATTTATAAACAGTCTTCATATATATATCATATCAATACAAGAAAGGGTTAGTGGGATGGAAAGAAGGAGGAGATTACTGATCTTCAATTAAAATACCTTGAGATGAAAGAAGTGAAAGCTAAAGAGGTAAAAAAAGAATCTTATCTCTAGGTTAAAGCTCCTAACAGTTAAGTTTAATGAGGTAAACTGAAACCAAACTGAATTTATTTTTAAATCAATGAAATAAAAATCATTTTATTCTTTTTCATTCTTTACTTGCCACCAGCCTTTTAAACACTCAGACATTCTGATTGTCTGGTTTTAGACTGTAACGTCTATGAAAAACCCGATTGGTCCCTATTTTGAAATGAATTATCAAATCAGCAATAATTCATATTCTTTCATCCAACAATCATATTCATTCATTCATTAATCAAATAATCTCTTGCCATATTAGCATGGTTTGGATATTCAACCCCATGCAGCTATAAATTTGGGAAATTAAAATAAATTATGATAGACATATAGGCATTAATAAATTCTGGATGTTAATATTATATATATTTTTGAAACTTAGTACTATGTGGTGAAGAAATAATAATTTATTACTACTGTTTATTACTATTATTGCTATTGATATTGCTATTATTATAGTTGTTATTATTATGATTATTGCCATTGCTGTCATTACTATAACTATTATTATTGATATTATTACTATCGCAAACCTAAAATCTTGTATGAAAAGATCCTTTGAAAGACATTTTAGCGGGATTATTGTTGGCTATTTTCATTGTTATCAAATAAAATTGATAATCACTTGAGCAATTTGAATAATTTACCAATAAAGTAAATTCAATACAATTTTGTCAAACATCTCACTCTTTGATCAGATGTGTTGATTTATGCCTTCTTCTTCACAAAGTATTTAAAATTCTCAAATAAAGTATATTATTTACATTAACACATGTAACACTCAACATCTTTGAAAGTATAGGTGATAATAAAATTAATATAATGACCAATCATATATATATATATGAAATATCATAAATACAATTAAAATAGAATAAAAATTAAAACTAACCTTCTCCAATAATTCCGATCTTTCAATGTATTGAATAGAATAATTGAAAAACTCTTTCCAATATATGGTCCTTCTAAAGGAAAAAATTCTAGTATAGCATGTCCTATGGTCTAATACTTGGTAATCCAATGTGTGGTAATTCTTGGAAAGGAATTTGATTTTTTGATGTCCAAGCATCTAATGTAAAAGACACTTGACCTGGAAAAGCCTTAAATGCCTTTTTAGTTGTTGTTTTTATTATCAAATGTTTAGTAATCATATTACAAAAACATACCATTTTTTTAAAAGCTGTATTTTCAACAACTGAAAAAGGCTGGTTATTGACAATTATCCATTTATCAAATCTTTGCAAAAATCTTCTTATGCTTATTATTTAAGATAATAAAATAATAAAACCATTACAAAAAAGCCTAAACTTACCTCTTTCAATATAAATTATCCATAGGACCACTCAAAAGGTGCTTGTTTTATGAGTTTTTTCAGACAATTTAACATTGTTGATGTTGATCGATCCACATACTTATAAGATTAAATTAGCCAATCAGAGTTTTGTATCCAACACCCACCCCAAAATTTAATTAGCAGTGTTTACATTATACTTATTTCATCACAGATCAAATTTTCTCATTGTTATAAATAAGAGAGTTATTATCAAGAGAATTACATAGTTCATTTGTGAAGAAATTATATTGTATATTGTATATATCATTAATAATTTACAGAAAAAAAATTTTTTTGTGTTCAATAAATAATATGTAAGCTGAGACTGGAGCTTTAGTTCTTCTATACAAAAAATCAGCAATAAAAAAGACAACAAAGGTAATACACACCCAAATTTCTAAAGCATGCAACCAAAATCAGCAATATCAGTAGCATTTCTATTTCATCTGCTGTTGAATGTACTAGAGCAATCATACATTTTTAACAGGCGGAGAACCAGATCATTGGCTTTCAACTGGGACTATTTCACACTGGAAAAAAAAATCACATTTTCATTTTTTTATAGAATAATGTGTGATGAAAGCACACATGGTGATAAAAGATCTTTTTGGTTTGTTCTACTCATTGGAATTAGGATAAAATCAACCCATAATTACTATTGCAAAGATGGATGACTTAGATAAATGCAAATTTTGGCTTACAGATAATACTGTCTATATGTCTGGTTCCAAATCAAGTGTAGTTGTCAAATTTAATTTGATGTGCCAGTATTCTTCTTAATGAACACCTTATAACCTGCATGCATTGCAAATTGCATTAGTAAGCTTTGAAAATACAACATTTGGGAAGACAAACTCTCCATCAGCTATCTCTTTGGAACACTAACACCCATATAACCCTCTCAATTTAACATACCACTTACATGGTGGATATAGTGATAGTAATAAAGAAGCTGACTGATACATAAATTAAATTGGTGTTTTCTCTCTGGAACTTATCAAAAGTCAATCTTGAGTTGTTTGTTGTACCAACTGACAACTGCTCAGCAATATTTAGCAAACATTTGCACAATGGTTTGTTAGTGAATTGGAAAATAACAAAAGGTTCCTTGTGGCTATCTTAAAAGTGGAAAGTATTCCTTAATTGGCTTGAAGATCCTAAGCTGAGAACATTGGAGTAGAATCCATGGTTAGATTTGAAGAAGTATTTTATGAAAAAGTCTTTAAATTTTTAATTGGATTTGACTATTTACCTCGAATAGTTATTGAAGATGAGACAAAACGTTTACCTTTTGGGAACCATGCACATGAGACCCCAAACCAAGTTATATCATTTTAATAGATGAATTTAAATAAATCCAGAATTGATTTTCAAAAAAGAGGAGTCCAAGAATGTCCAGTCCTTGTTATCTAGTGAAGAACACGATAATCTGGAAAAAATAAAATAAAAGATGGGATGAAAAAGGCAATAGACAGTTTTTTGCAAATTGATGGAATGCAGGACCCATTTGGAGGTGACAATGGACCAGAATTCACTTGTGCTATATCTTGGATGTTCTTTTCTGTTTCCTATAATATAGAAATAAATTTGAATTTCTTGAGTAGTAATGTTAATCATTTGATTATATTCAAATAATCAGTTATTGTATGAAGATTCAGGCTATATATCAAATCAGCAATGACCATCATATTCTATAATTATATACACATTGCCAAAATTAAATTTGGCTTTGACTCAATTCCTAAAACCTCAATTTTTAATTGCGTCTGACTCAATTAATTGCATTAAAAAGTCTCCTGATTGAGTCAAGTGATCAACCTATTTTTACCACTAAACAACAATAATTTTTATTTGAATAATTAGAATTAATAAAACAAATAATTTGAATAAAATGAATAAAGCAGCAAATCATGTGAATAAAATGAAAGATACCAGGTCACATGCTCGGAACAGTCTTTAACATTCCTAATTTGATAATATTCATTCGAATGAAGCTCTTGAGGAACAAGACTTTTTCTGTATCAGTGTCTTCAGACATTCACAAATTTCCACTTATGTATGATTCATGAAATATAGAATTTGATCCATGATAGTTCTCTATAATGGCCTTCACTCTATAACGAACTGAAATTAAAGCCCAATTTTTTACTATTTAAAAATCTTACTCTATTACTATGGCCTGGCTCTGAAAATTCTCATATACCACATGATCTAAAAATCTTTTCCAATTTAAAAAATTAAATTGAGGTGTCATCATTACTATTTTTAGTAACATATGATTTATGTTTGCAATAAAATTTGTGAATATTTTATTTGATGATTTAGAAAGAAGAAGAACGTTCTTGTTTGTATTGTAAACAATGTGATCTCATTTTTATATCATCAAAATTAAAAAAATTGATTTTGATTTCGCATCAATCAACATTTAGATATAGCTTTCTTAATATCGATCGCATCTGCAAAATTTCCTATAACGGACTTTTTTTTACTGAAACGGAAGGACCGTTTTAGAGAGAGTGAACTGTATGATATTAAAATGCACCCAAGTATGAAGAAACAACTGCAAAGATCGTGAATGTTGTTTTCTGATTCCAATAAAGGTCAATTAAAAATTACAAAAGAAAACCTAGTAGCTGCTAAAAAAGAGCAGAGTGCAGGGTGCAGGGTTAAATGTTGATATAGATCCAGCCAGTTTTATTGAGTTTCTTATAAAATTTGTATTTTTTTTTTTAAAGTAATTTTATTGGCAAAATTGAAGACCAATCCTTAACCCTGGAAGAGAGAATAAATGGTAAATTAAACAAGTTCCAATGATTTAAATTGTATATATGAATAAAAATCCTCAAATATTATTTGTAAGTTTTTAAAGTCGGCATTGTGGTGCGCGGAAAGTTCCAGTCTTGCATTATTAAAGATTTTAAAGTCACACAAACGCCAGCCACAAATATCATAAAAAACAGTTATTTTTCCCCTCATTAAAAAAACAAAAGCAAAAGATTTTAGTTAAAGATGATTGTTAAATCAAATCTTAACTACAGTAATATAATCAACAACATTAATAACAATAATAATAATAACAATAATAATCACGTAAATAACTGTCAAACAACAACAGCACCTTTATTTAACAAGAATTCTCGATTGATATTTCCGGGTTTTCATTTTGTTTGTAATAATTCTAGACAAGATAAAAAAAATGATTTTGATTTTGATGGAACTATTATAACACAAAAATCTAGTGGATTTTGTAATAATGATAATAGTGATCATAGTAATAGTAACGATCATAGTCATAGTGATCATCATAATATTATTAATGTTAAAAGAAATGTTTTGAATGAAAAATTTGAAATGGAGGTTGACAATAATAATAATGGTAATTTTTATGATTGTAATGTTCAGGAAAATAATTACATTGTTAAATTGCAAGAGCTTTTGTTTATATTATTTAATAAAAAAAATATTTCGCAAAGTCAAAATCAACTCATAAATATTCTGTGGACACAAATTCAAACAAACAATCAAAGATTTATCAATAATGAAAAGTTTATTAATGAATTATTGACAAAACTCAAATTACTTTCATCCGCTAATAATGAATTTTTAAGAAATCAATTATGGGAAGAACTTTATGTGTTTTTAAACTGTAATCAATATTTATTTGATTTTAATAATAACAATAATAATAATTGCAATAATAATAATGATGGATTGAGTTTAAGTAATTTTGATGATGAGGCAAAGAAAATTAATTGGGAACCTTTGTCACAAAGTGAATTGTGTTCATTGATCTCACAAAACTCTCAACAATCATATAATTTTGAACACACTGATAATAATCACAATAATCATAATAATAACAATAGTAATAATGCAACATCTTCAACACTAATTGAAAATAAACATTCAACAAATATTGAAAACCTTAGGAAAAGAAGAAATTGTCAACCACAACAAGTCAGCAATAAAAGAAAGGTATACATTTAAATATATATATTTATTTATTTATTCTAAAAATTCTTTGATACTTAATATAAATTTTTATTCATTTAGCAACCATATCCAATAGGAGAACATATTGCAATTAGACCAACTAAGCAAACAAATACAATTATTTGGCATCAAAATGATCCTTTAGATGATGTACCAATAATGTCCATGCAAGTACATCATCACCAACCACAAATAAAATCTTCAATACCACCACCACAACAACAACAAGTAGATGAAGAAGAAGTAGTAACAGTGAAGAAAACACAGATAAAGCAAAAGGTTGTTATTGTCTCTCCTCGACACTTGCCAAGATTAACTTCACCAATCATTAGTGAATTATGGGATAATTCAAATATTACAATGAATATGCTTTCACCTGAACCATTTAATCGTAATATTAATCATAATCATAGTGATAATGGTATTATTGAGGAATTAATATTACCACAATTAACAGAGCCAATTCCAATACTTTTGTCTCGTACACCTTCACCACAACATGATTATAATAACAACTCATTTTCACCAACTCTCACTGACCATCATCATCATTATTGTTTAAATATGATGAGTCCAGAAGATGAAACTAATCCTGTTTCTTTTGTTGAGACATATTATTTATCTTAATCTACAAAATTTTAGCTTATAATAATATAAATATAATAATAAATAGATAGATATAATTTCTAGATTTCCAATTAATATGTTTTTTATCAAGATCATATTTTTAATCCTATTACCTGAGAAAAGGAAAATTATAATATGTATGTGTGTGATTTTTTTTCTCTCATAATGCCATGGCCAATCAATCAAATAACCTTGAAAACAAAGTAAGAAAATTATCACATTGGAAAAGTTTCTACTACTAATGTTGTTACAAAATAATAACCCACACTTACTAGCCCACTCACTCCACATCATCTCTTATAATGGTGAAAATGATGATTAATTCTCAATATGATTAATAAATAGATAAAAACCAAAGCCAGTTATCATGGATGATGATTAATTAGAGAGAGAATGTGTATAGACAGCTAATTTCCTTGATGTTTTCCCAACTGTTACATCTAATCAGAAAATAATAAATAAATTCAATTTCATTCATTATACGTATAAATAAATAATAGTACACGTGTATATATTATGCGCAATGTGATTGGTACGAGCTATTACTGGTTACTACTATTACAAAATAAAATGTATTATTACAATTCAATATATTAATATTAACAATTCGAATTGTTCAATTTTAATATTAATATTATTCGTAATATAATTCAATCTGTATTAGATTCTTTGGTTTACGCTCAAATTACTTGAATATTCAGATTATGCATGATATTAACTTACAAGTCGAAGAAAATTTTTTTAATTGGATTGGATTAGCGATGTGTATATTAATTATACCATTATTATCGGTTATTATTATTCTTCGATAGAAAATTTCGTGGGTCAAATCTTATTATAACACATATTATTGTATCAACCAGTAAATTTATGTATGATCGATAACACTATGTTGTTATTACTATGTTTCTATAATTTTTTAAAATTCTACTTATACACGATGACCTAAATGTGCTCGTCTATGAACTACGTATGATCCCATATCGAGGGGATAACGTTTGAATTTGTGGTGTAAAAAATTTACAAAAAATTGGTCTAAGATAATAAACTACTTGCCGGATAAGAAATTTATCGGCATTTAAAACATTATTATTAGGAATACTAGGAAGTAGGAATTTTAAGAATTTTTGATATTTCCTTTCCCATAGACCATAAATAGTACATTTAAAATCAGCAAGCTCTCCTCTACAATAGACTCGATTTGTTTTTTAAAAAATTATGGGTTTACCCCGATCCACCGACAGACGTTATACCGACAGCCGTTATACCGATTCCGTTATACCGACAGGACGTTTTTCCGACAGGACATTACACCGACAAAACATTATACCGAAAGGACGTTTTACCAACAAGTCATTTTCTAATATATTCCATCAATTTAGCATAATACAGCCAACCCCCTCTAAGTGCACACTCTCTAAATGCACTCACTATGTAAACCCTCTCTAAATGCACTCACTATGTAAACCCTCTCTAAATACACGTCATGTCTCATTCCCAAACTTATAGTGAGCTTATAAAATTACCCACTCTAAATGCACGTTCATGAGAAATAGTGATATGTTCCCAAAGAGGGTGCACTTAGAGGGTTGACTGTATTTCTTTGTTTTCCTACCATAACCATACCAGTTCATTATCATTATCCGTTAATATTAAGAAATGGCATATATAATATTAATATATCTGATGATGTTAGCCGATTAACCGGCTGATCTGTTTAAGTCTGTCAAACCATTTATTAGCCGGCTAAGCTGTTTAAGTCTGTTAAACCATTTATTAGACGGCTAGATTTATTAATTACACTATGAAATGACTTGTCGGTATAATGTCCTGTCGGTAAAACGTCCTGTCGGTATAACGGCTGTCGGTATAATGTCTGTCGGTGGATCGGGCGGGACCCTCTTTATATTAATATTATATTATATATGTAGAGATGTCAATTTTTGAAATTAATAAAAAATAGTAAGTATAGTTACAAATTTTTTAAGACATTTTGAAAATGTCACGAATATATCTAATTACAGTCATATTAAGGCTATAATTATTTATGGCTGAAATCCAGTCGCAACTCAGTCGACTTGAAAATTTCTAGTCGCAGCTACGACTAGTCGGCTAGAAACACTACTAATAACCTGCCTATCTTTGCTTAAGTCCTCTTTTTTTGAGGGATATAGAATATATATAAGAGTAAAAAGTAACATTATCAATATCATATTCTTATTTCAGAAGGTGTCCGGCAACCTGAACATGTTGAAGTGGAAGTGGAAGTGCACATGAGCGAAAAGAACGAGTTATTTCTATAGAATAAGGAAGGAAAGCATTTGAAACTGTAAAAAAATTCTTGTAACAACAAGAATTAGCTACAGAAAAAGATGTTAAATATGTCTAATAAATCATTTAAATAGTTCTGTAGATAAAAACAAAATCCAATCCTTGTTGTTGAATAGTAATATTAAAAATAAATGAAATTACTCTTGAGCTATATCTCACAAAAATTACTCATTATATTTCTTCGAATCAAACTAGGTATATATATACTCAAGAATATTTGTGCATTGCATATTTTATAAACATAAAGCGGAGATGATCATTTGTGATATAGCATATGCGTTAATTAATTTATTTTTTTATTTTATTAAAAATTAAAATTTTGAACTAAAAATATAAAAATAAATACATGATTAAAAATTATATATTACACATTAATAATAACAAATAAATAATAAATTAAGAAAATTTTTGAGTTTTGTTGAATTTTTCGTTTTTTGAATTGCTTTGATATTTTCTTTACATTATAGAGCAATAGTTTGTAGCATTTTCAGGTTTTTCAGTGACACCTTTTGAAATGGTGGCTGAGCTGACGATAGTTTGAGCAATGGCTTGAGTTGATTTCATTTTTGTAGATTTTGTAAGTTTTGGTTTTTAAAATTTAAAAAAGTTTGATTTTAATTGTATTGTTATTTTTATTTTTACTCTTCAAGAGTTATTTTGTTTGATTTTTTTGGTTTTTGTTTTGGTTTTTTGTATTGGAAAAAAATTTTGAGACGAAGAAAGACTGTATATTTATAAGAATTTACAAACAATGGTTAATCGTTTTTAACAATACCAATATTAAGCTTATAAATTTTGTTTATATATATTATAACCCTTGTTTCAAAAATAAATTAAAAACATCAATGCAGTTTCATAGAACCCAGAACCGAGGGAAAATATTTACAGTGATAGTGTTTGTACTCGTATTATGAAAAGAATACGAGTTTCATAATATAATATGAACACAAACAGGACCCTGAAAACTATATATTTATTGTCGATTCGAATTATTCGTAATACAATTCAATCCAATCTTAATTCGTAATATTATTTGTAATTAATAGCATATCAAGATTGAATTGTATTTATTTGTAATGCAAATTTAATATTAATAGCATATCAAGATTGAATTGTATTATTTGTAATGCAAATTTAATCTTAATATTAATTCGAATTATTCGTAATGACATTCAAACCTAATACTAATATTAATGTTATTCGTAATACAATTCAATCTGTATTAGATTCTTTAGTTTACCTTGAATATTGAGATTATCTAACAATATTTGATATTAACTTTATTATTATAAGAAATTAAAATTAGAATTATAAGAAAATTATGAAACTTACAAGAATTCGATTGAAGAAATTTTTATAAAATTTCTACTTTAACCATGTCATGTTCTAATAAAAAAGCACGAAAATTATAATTTTTGAATAATATTGAAGTTGATAATTTTGAAATTGAAGTTGAAGTTCATGATTTAATTAACTAACTCCCATTTGATGATTCACTTTTAGCGGACGAGTATTTAAATATTGAGAATAACATGGTTGTAGATGAAATTAGTAACGGAAGGTGAGGATGTTATTGCATTAATCCAACCAACAGAAATAGATGAGCAACAGGATGAAACCTTTATTCCAGAAATTTCTATTACAGATACCAAATGGAATTTATTGAATTTTTTAGTATACCCTCTAAGTGATTTCGATGTATGTGAAGATGCATTCGTACTCTTAGAAAAAATTATCAAGTCATAAGATTAATAGTTCAGCGCAACAATCTTTAGATAAATATTTTTGTTTAGAATAATTTGTAAAATTTATATTTTATAACGAATTTATTTTGAATAATTAATAAAGTTTTGTATCCGAATTTTGATAAGCCGATCCTATTTTTGTGATTCCCAAAAGTTCGGTTATCGAGGTTTGACTGTAGTCATAAGTGTTTCGAATAACATAGGTATTTCGAATAGTCATAAGTATTTCCTTATTCTGTAGGTAAAAACAAAATCGCAATCCTTGTTGTTAAATAATGATATTAAAAATAACTGCTTTGAGCTATATTCCACATAAATTCCGGGATAGAGAGGTATGACTGTATATATGACTCATTATATTTCTAGGTATATGCTTAAGAATATGCACTTCAAATTATCCATAAGCATAATGGAAATTTGAAATGTTACATTAATTTTTTATATTGTGCAACGTAGCTTTACAATACACGGCAAACGTTCTGGCAATAAAAAGCAAGTGATAAACTGGATTTGAATTGGATCTGAACTTGATCACCAATTTAGAGAGGCAACAACTATATACTGGCGAAGTTTCAGAAGCAATGAGTTCTGCATAACGTTTCGTGTAACAACAAGCTTCCACTATGCTTATTTTATGTGTGTTATTAATTAATTTTTTTATTTTATTAAAAAAATATAAAAATAAATACACCATTAAAAATTATAAATTACGCCATGAAAAATTATAAATTACACCATTAATAATAAATAAATAATAAATTAAGAATTTTTGAATTTTGTTGAATTTTTGAATTTTTGCAATTTTGCAAAATTTTGAATTTATTGAATTACTTCGCCATTTTTTTGAATTGCTTCGATATTTTCTTTACATTATAGAGCAATAGTTTGTGGCATTTTCAGGTTTTCCAGTGGCACCTTTTGAGATGGTGTCTGAGCTGACGATAGTTTGAGCAATGGCTTGAGTTGATTTCATTTTTGTAGATTTGTAAAGTTTTGTTTTTTAAAATTTAAAGGGTGTTTTTTTTTATTTATACTCTTCAAGAGATATTTTGTTTTATTTTTATTTTTGATTTGGTTTTTTGTGTTGGGAAAAAATTTTTGAGACGAAGAAAGATGGCATATTTATAAGAATTTACAAACAATAATTATCCGTTTTTAACAATACCAAGATTAAGCTTATAAATTTTGATTACAAACAATATATATAACTCCTTGTTTCAAAAATAAATTCATAATATTAATGTAGTTCCATAGAACCTAGAACCGGGAAAAATATTTGCAGTAATAGTGCTTGTATTCGTTTCAAAATATCATATGAGGATCCTGAAAACTATATTACCAAATTTGAGGTCTAAGGTTTTGAATTAATATTATTTGACGCATAATTACGAATAATTCGCAATAATTCGTAATAATTCAATATCAATGTAATATTAATTCGGGTTTACTTGAATATTCAAATTATACAACAAGATACTTTATTATGAAACTTGCAAGGATTACGAGGATTGGCGATGTGCATACAGTGCGGATCATCTATATTTAAAAGTTAAATTTTTTTTAAAATATCATGTGATGCACATGTTGGATTTTAAAAAAACCGCCATTATTCAATTCAGCCTTAAAAGGGAATCAATTCGTGTAAAAAAATTTTATCTCATTTTTTTTTCATAGATTTTTTTTAATTTGAGAGTTATGCTCAGAACTGCAACAATAATTTTCGTGTAACAGTATTCTTGAATTATATGTCCAAATTTGGGAATGATTTTCTTTTGATGTAATATGTTCGTTTTGAACTTTTTTATTGTAAAAGAACTTTTATTATTAATAAAAAAAGGGAAATAAATAATACAAATGAATCAATATATGTTGTAAAAAATATTCTATGAAAAAAATGTTGTTACACGAAGTTTACTTAGTCTAAATTCCTTAAAAGTATAACAAAATTTGGAATTTTCAAAATGATAAGGTTCTGTCAATTTGATAAGTTTTGAAGCTTGAGTCATGAACAATAAAACTTATCGGTTAACTTTTTTAAAATGATATAAAAATTTTTGTTTTAGTATTTTGAAGCTGACCAATTGTTACCATAAGCAATTAATTGATTATAGGTATTTATTTAGTTCAAACCTTTCAAACCTCGTTTCAACGAATTATAATTAAACTCACAACGAATTTTTAAAATTTTTGCTTCACATATAAAAACATAAAATTCGTTGAAACGCGATTAGTAATTTTGGTATTAGTATAACGAATTTTAAATGCAATTTTTTTATGTGTCCCATGGATTCGTTGAAACGAGGTTTGACTGTACCATTATTATCATTTTTATTCGAATAGAAACCCTAGCGAGGTCAGACCTTTTTAAAATAAAACACTCTTTTAAAGATGGCCTAAATGTGCTCTTCTATGAAATAGGTATGCTTCCATATTGAAGGGGTTTACCATTTGTAGTGTTTTGAAGAAAATTTAAAAAAGTGCCCATATATAACATTTTCAAAAGCTCGCATATGTTTTTTTTTCTAATCTGCATACCACTGCATAATTCCCGAAATTTACGTAAAGAACATACTGTTTTCAAACTACCACTCCTTTTTCGTTTTAAAAGATATAGGTATCAAATTTGCATGAAGGATAGTATACACGTTATAACTTAGAGCTACGGAAAATTTTAATGGCTGTAAAAAACTCTGATGGCGCAAATACACTCATTTAAAATACAGCAAATTTGTTTCTTTATTGTAATACTTTTACCTATTACAACTTCCGGAAAAAATTGTATGAAATGAACATACTCTCCCCATAGCACCGTTCTACAAACACCCTCGACTAAACACCTCAGATATTTTCACAAACGATTTTCCAAAACCCTTGGAAATTGAGAACTCTAATAAAACATTACTTTCTTAAACGGTTATCAATTGTCAACTTTCGTTTATGGTCTATTCCATGTTTGAAAGCAATACAAAACAATATTGTCCCATCAGCATAAAAACCAACTTTTTATACAAAATTATGCAACAAATCAAAATTATGCGAAGATGCATATATCTGGTATCTATGATACTAATCACAGTCATATATACCATATCCCTACTTCGGGACCGTATATATGACTTATTATATTGAGTATATATATTTCTTCGAATCAAGCTAGATTTTATCAAGTATGCTTAAGAAGGTACATTTCAATTTTTTGTGCATTGTTATTTTGACATATTTTTATAAGGTTTAAACGAAGATGAGAAATCGAAAGCATAGTGGAAATTCAATAGTCCCCACCCCAAAAGACTTGCTCCATATGTATCTTTTATAAAATTTTAAGAGTGAGTAATAATATAGTACCAAATAGTATAACAATTGAACTGTTATACTAAACTCAATCACGTAATAATAAATAATATACATTTTTATGGAGTGCGTTAATTATTTACTTTTTTATTTTTATTAAAAATAAAATTTGAACTAAAAATATACACATTACACATTAATATAAATAAATAAATAATAAATAAATAAATAAATAAATAAATAAATAAATTAAGGTTAAGTAATAAATGTTTTTGAATTTTTCTTTTTTTAGATTTTTCGTTTTTTTTTGTTTTGAGTCGATATTTTTCTTTTACATTATAGTGCAATAGTTTGTAGCATTTTCAGGTTTTCCGGTGGCACCTTTTGAAATGGTGTCTGAGCTGACGATAGTTTGAGCGATGGCTTGAGTTGATTTCATTTTTGTAGATTTTGTAAGTTTTGGTTTTAAAATTTAAAAAAGTTGATTTTAATTGTTATTTTTATTTTTACTCTTTGAGTTATTTTGTTTGATTTTTTGGTTTTTGTGTTTGGAAAAAAATTTTGATACGAAGAAAGATTTCCCATATTTATAAATGATTTTTCTTAATTCATTCGAACCGAAAACAATAGTAAACATTTTTAATATTAAAACAATATTAAATTATAAACATAAATATCCGTGATATCCCCTTTTTTGTTTCAAATAAAACCAATTAAGGAAATATTTGAAACAAAACACATTACCCCTCGCATTATTACTATTCTTTCTTAGTAATTAGTATTGTAATATTAATTAACTTTTTTAATTAAAGTTTTTTTAGCATTGTTTAAAAACTCTAAAAATTTCTTATAAATATGCAGACTTTCCCATCTCAGATTTTTTCTTCAATACAAAATATCTCTTGAAGAGTAAAAATAAAAAATAACATACAATTAAAATCAACTTTTTTAAATTTTAAAAAACCAAACTTTACAAATCTACAAAAATGAAATCAACTCAAGCCATCGCTCAAACTATCATCAGCTCAGAAACCATCTCAAAAGGTGCCACCGGAAAACCTGAAAATGCTACAAACTACTGCTCTATCATGTAAAGAAAATATCGAAGCAATTCAAAAAAAAAAAACGAAAAATCTAAAAAAAACGAAAAATTCAACAGTCCAAAAATTCAAAAAAATTTCATTATTTATTATTTATGTTTAGTATTTTATAATTTTTAAAAGTATTTTAATTTAATTTAATTTAATCTAATTGTATGTTATTAATAATGTATTCACCGGTTCTTAAAATAGTTCTTTAACTCTTCAATTTTATTTATTTTTCATTTTTTTTATTTTTTTATTTAATTTACACTGGTTTTGTACTTTGAATAAAAAATAAATAAAATAAAATTAAATAATCAATATATATATGTGTGTGTGTGTATTTGGAATGCCCCAATAGTTTTGAATTGTCCTTCTTCGTCATTACCATTACGCAAGGAAATGGACTAAAGTTGTTTGACGAAATTAATAGTACTCTCCAATGAAAATTAATCATTGAATTGTATTTTAAACAATGCCTTTACTATTTTATTTGAGAAATAACAAAGTATACCGTTCGATATTGATGATGATTGTTATTTATTATAATAATAACAGTTTATTAATTTGTAAATTTATGCGATAAAACATACAATAATACATAATAGATTAATAAAATTAAAAAGAAGATCTTGTACATAAAATATAAAACCCTTTATAAAATACGATGTCAATCTAACTCAATTCAATTCACCCTCGTGCCCACTCGCATACTATAATCCAAAATTCGTATTTAACCAAAAATAATATGATCGTTTTCAATTTCGTAAATTGGTCGAACATCAATAGGAACATTTTTATCCTCCAGTTGATTCAAAGTTTCCTGTTGTGCCTCATTAATATTCCCGTATTTTTCAACGAACTCCTTAACTTTATTTTTATCGCCATTGCCTTGTAAAATCAATATATCCCTAGTTAAATTCTCAACTGATTTTTCAATTTTATCGAAATTCACATTGTATTTTTTACTTGCTGGATCGTATTCAAAACCTCCTTGTTCAGTTAGATAATTTAATTGAATACATTGTCCTAATCCATGAGCCTAAAAAAATTTTTTGGAAATATAACATTAATTGGTTTTTTTTAAAAAAAATTGGTTATATTATATTTATAAATACCTCATTGATTCCAAATCTAATAGATCTAAAAGCTGAAGCCAAATAAGTAGCATAAAATTGTTCTCTAGATATGCCACTCAAAAGTCCTATTTTAATTAAATGGGCAGCTGCAAAAAGACCAGCAATATCTATGCATAAAATACATCATCTACATTAATAAAAATTTATTTTATATGCAAAATAAATAAATAATCCAAATAGATCAAATAAAACAATATTTACCTGCTTTTGCTTCTTCAATTGCGGAATGATATTCTTGCAATTTAGACCTAACAGTAACTTTACCATCTGATCCAACTATAAAATGTGGACCATTTGAATGTGCAACTTCATGAAGCAAAATGTGTGTCTATATCATTAGTTATTGTTTATAAAAAAAGAAATTTTGATTATTGATGAACTTGAAAAATAACTCATAAAAGTTTGTATTATTAAATAATGCATAATATCATTATAATATATGCTTAATTGGAAAACCTACAAAGAAAGCATCGAATGATAAATATTGAAGCTGATCTTTAGAAAGTACAGTTCTGGCAATTGGATCCAATATTTTTTCATATTTTCCTTTTAAAAAAATTCAAATGTCGAGATTATAAATATAATAATAATAATAATAATCATTATCATTTTAGCAACTAACCTTCTTGAACGTTTTTTATAATAACTAATTTTGATCCACCACGTTTCATTGCCACCTCCTATCATCATTAATAACATTAATAACATTAATAACTTATTTTATGAAAATATAATAATGTAAAAAAATACAATCTTAAAATAAATTTTTATGCAATTAACATACATCATTTGGCAAATTATATGCTGCCGTCATAGGAACTATATAGAAGAAAAGAAAAAGGGAAAAGTTATTATGATAATAATATCATCTTGTAGGGACCGTCATGCCATTTCTATATCCTATGCCATTAATAAATACCTGCAACATCACCAGATGCAAATAATTGATCTACTACAACAATTGGTGTATAAGTTAAATTTTTATTTTTATATTCATCTGGAACAGGCAAATTGTTTTCAATTTCTTGTAAACTATCAGAAAATTTTTCTAAAAGTTTTGAGAAATGAAAATCTCTTAGGTGAATATAAAATTCAAAAGCTGATTTCGTTGAAAATAATTCATCAGTATAAACTTCATATGGCCCAATAGTTACTTAATGTATTGTTAAAAAAAAAAAAATAATAGTAATGATAATTAGTTGATTGAAATAATAAAACTTCACAAGTCATAAATATATACATACTTTCAAATTTACTCTCTTTGCTAACATTCAACCAATTAATTTCACTCTCCAAATAGTTGTTGGATAAAAATGCATCGGCCCTTGTTAACAAAAACCTAACCAAAGACTTGTCATTCAATAACATAGCAGAATCTTTTAACAAAGTAGAAGCATCAACCAATATATCTTTATATTCCTCAGAATAAGGCTTTAAATATAATTCTTTCGTTGATTCGTTTCTTTTAATCACATGATAAAATCCTTTTGCCAATTCCCTTTGTTCAGAATCCAACTTGTTCTCACACCAATATTCAAATTCTTCTTTAGTCATATCTTCTGGATAAAAATTGCCCCCTAATGGTTTATGAACTGGTAGATTTGGTGGATCGTCTAAAACTAAACCATGAACTCGATCCCACGGACCTTTCATCATATTAAAAAATAGTAGTTCATTATCCGTACGTGGACTTTCACTTCTAAGATATTCCAACGTATCTAAATTGCCTTTCCATTTTTGGCGAAGATAAAGTCTAATTCATATTAATATTTTATGTATATATTAATATATTTGTATAAATAGTAGATTATAATAAATTAGAAGCACTAAAAAAAAGTATCACATACCTATCAATTAATTTACCAAGTTGAACTAATTTTTTAAGAGCTAATGCTTCATCATTAGTTATTCTTGATAAATCTGCACCTAAGAAAACTGGCGAGTAGTTTGAAATAATTTTAGAAAGTAACTTCTTGGGGGGAGATGTATCATTGCCCTCTTTAGATAATTGACTTAACAACAATAGTAAAAAGAAACAAATGAATAAACATATGTAAGCATGGGCTCTGGTTCCATAATCTGCCATGTCTTTTATTATTAATAATATTTAATTATTAATTAAAAATTTTGACTTGTCACGTGAATAAATACTAACGTCGATACAGATGTGTCTTGAATCATTGTACAAAAAATTTTTTTTCGAATGTTGCAACCCTCAACAATAAAACGAAGATTGGAAACTTTTCTTAACGAATTTAAAAGATTAAGAAAAAATTGGGATGAGCTTAATGATGAATGTCTTACATTGGCCAATTCATTTTTCAATACAAAATTACAAGAACAGTATGTTTAATTAAATTTTCTCTTGAACAATCAATTGATTATTATATTAATGTACATACTTGTGCATTTAAAAGAAATACAGATTATCCAGAATATTGGATTGAAGAATTTGAAGAATTTTTAAATTTAAAGGAAAACTATGAAAAAAAAATGTCGAAAAAAGTCTCAGAATTATGGAATTCTTTGAAATTAATATTTGATAAAATGGTGAAAAAATGAATTTATCAAAAAAAAATTTTTTTTTTAAATTTACTTATTATCTTCCTCCCCTTCCTAATTAATAGATTGCTCAGTATACAAAAATGAAAATTCAAATATTACAAATGGAATCTTTGCTGGAAGAATCTTGTGAAAGCCTGGGAGAAGAATTTACATATGATACTTCGTTGTATTTAACCTGTCCTTTGGAAATATTTGGTATAAAAATAATTTTTATTATATTAAATATAATATGTCATACATTATTCATTTATTCACATAAATATTTCTATTTTACTTAGTTAATCGTTCCATTACAATTTTTGAAATGTATACAAAAGAACTCGATTTAAAACAAAAAATAATATTAATGAATAATGAGATTGTTGTAGATCGTGAGAAGGCGATGATAATATTATCAAGTTGGATAAATCAACCATTAATTGATGATTGGGCAATTAAAGAATTTGAAAATATTTGTGATGTTGAAATTGGAAATAAATTCGACAAATGATTGTTTGATGATGATGATGATGATGACAAATTAGGAATGAATGAAAAATGTTTGGAAAAGCTTTTTTCCGAGTAAAAATAGAAAGTTAGTTGATCGACATGCATAAACGAACATTACCTAAATAAGATTTAGTAGACTTTGTGTGTAAATTAATAATTTGTACAATATCTATATACGTCAATTCTCACTTTGTGTTTTTCGAAATTATAATTTGTAAAATGTATAATAACAATGAACATAAAAATTTAAACAAAGTAAATGGATCAATTAGGTTGTTTAATGGATGAAAAGCTTTGTCCATAAATTTTTTTTTAGTAAAGGCATATTTAACTACGTATTTGATTCGTTTTTTGGATTCAATAGATTTATTTGTTTACGGAGAAATGTGTATTAAATCAAAGCATTCCCCATTTTGCCATACAAATAGAAATCCATGGGGGAAATTTTATAAAAAACCTAAAACGTGGATAAAATATTTGCAATTGTTTAACACCCAACGTTTGGGTAAATATTTAATTGGTTCCTGATTTTGTTGAAACAAAGAATTCAATCCTAAATAAATGTGTCATTGTGTTTTTAGATATTATCTTCCAAAAATATTAGAATATTGTTTAATAATTAATATTATTGGAAATCACGTATAAATAGTAGATTGAAATTTTCTGGTTGGAAAAATTCTTCACTCCCAAAAAATAAAAAAATATCTCTCTTCCTTTTCTTTTTTTGACAGGACTTTTCATTTTCATTCAATAACTTTCGATAAGTTATAATTACTACTCGTTGACCGAGATAATAGCATTACATTCTTCTCCTTCTATTCATCATAAAAATCGTTCCAAAAAAACATATAAGTTAATAAAATCACACTTTTAATAAATTCTTTTTTATAACGCATAAATACTTTCTCGTCGTTAACACGTAAAATGGAAATGTTAAATTCTGTTACCTCTCCTTCTTTTTCCCCTTTTTCACCCTCATCATCCTTCTTTAAAAAACCGGAAACTTCTAATAATAATCCTAATACAAAATCACTTGATGAATTAAGATCAAAAATAAATGGAATAAATAATTCGAAAAACAGCAAATTTTCTGAAGATTTAACAACTCAAATAAGCATTAGTGAAGAGATTCTTGAAGATATTATTGAGTTTATGTCGCAACATCCAAAATTCAATCATGAAACATCGATTATAAATCCAGGAATTATAAGTCTTCGAGATGCTATATGGGACATAGAATTAGATATTTTGAAAAATTCAGTCAAAAAAGATGAGTTATTGGATGAATTAAGTCAAACAAACGAAGACTTGTCGTTGAAATTTGAAGAATTAAAGTTAAAATATAATACACATTGGACTGGAAGCCGAATTAAAATGTTTAAAGGAGTTGGAATGTTTAATTCAATTTTCTCAAAATATCATTTGGATTTAAAATACGAGAATGTAAAGCCAATAACTGGAATAATTAATAATAAAAAATGTAGTGATGTGGTGGTTAAAAAATTGTATGATGGGAAAATTGTCGCAGAAAAAAATATTGGCAAAAACTTGTACAAAAAACAAGATAAGGCATTGTTGCGAGATGAAATTGTTAGAATGAAAGCTCTTGAAGATTGTGTTAATATTCAACAAATGTAAGTATAAAAATATGTTTGCTGATTATTAAATGATGACAATAGATAGTATTTATGTTAAATATCAATGCTAATGATAATAATATTATTATTATAAAAATTTAGTTATGGATATACGCATCAAGGTTCCTGTTATTATGTTATCAGTAAATGGGCTGATTATAATCTTCAATCATATCTTAAACAAAATCATAACATTGATTGGACTACAAAATTAAACATTGCCTCTGGAGTTGCAGATGCGTTGAATTTTTGTCATGAACGTGATATTTTACATTCCAATATTAAAAGGTAATTAAAAAAAATTTTTTTTTTCTCACTATTATGTTTTATGTAATTCCAATTAACATAATAATGTATATGCATATATATATTTAGTGCAAATGTTATGTTAGATGGAGACCTTAATCCAATACTTTGTAATTTTGGAACTTCTGAGGCACTTGGCTTTATTTTTAAACCTGTAAATCATGAAAAAGATGATCCAAGGTAAGAACCACATATTATATATTATTAATATCATTATTATTAAAACATTCTTAATTATTATAATTATTTACTAAATATCAAATAATTTTGTTTGTTTAGATGGACAGCACCTGAATTACTTGGCAAAAAAAAGAAATGTACAACTGAAAGTGATGTTTACAGTTTTTCAATTCTGTTATGGGAAATAGACACACAAAAAGAACCATTTGGTGGTTACGGTAACTTCAAGTATGAATTTCTCAAAAATAAAATTATTTACGATCATAAAAGGCCAGAACTCGAATTTGTGGCTGAAGAATGCGACGAATATATTAATATAATGAAACAGGGATGGAATTTCGATCCAAGTAAACGTCCTACAATGCTTGAAATGAAAAGTCGACTTTTCGTATTAGAAAAACTTTATATTATGGAAGAAAGTGTTGAAAATGTTTTTGAGTCATTTTCATCCTCCTCTTCCTCAACTTGTTCCCATTCCTCAAGAGCTTCTTCTATTGCTACTTCTGTTAACGACGATTATCAATTATTATTATCGTCTAGTAATGATGACGGCAATAAATTATTATTACCACCATCATCAAAACCTAGATCAATTAGTGCACCACAAAAACTTGGAGATAATCATATTCATTCTTCTGATTGCGAAGATCTCGATTTTGATGGAAAGACTCTTAACGAAGATGATGCATCGAGATTAAGTAAATATTCTTTCACAACATTCAGAGAACCAATAGATATCGATAATCAACAAACTATTGAAGAACAACCGCAACAAGTTTTTGAGCAGAAAGATATTGAATGTATTGAACAACAACAACCAAAATCGCCCAATAATTTGCTCACTCAAACTAAACCAATTTTGCGTCAACCAGAATCTAAGTTAACAGATGCCAAAAGGTGCTACGCTCGAAAAGATTATGAAGGAGCTTTGAAGATCTTTAAAGAGCATGAAGGAATTTCTCATACAGCCGAATTAAAATGTTGGGTAGGATTATGTTATTTGAAAGGCGAACCACCCGTTAGAAACAAGAAATTTGCTGCTAAATATTTGAATGAAGCGTCAGAAGGCGGCGATCGAATGGCCAAATATGAATATGCAATGGCTATTCATAATAATAAAATTAAATTTGAGACGCGTGAAAGATATAAATTTATCAAAGAATTGTTAGAAGATTCTGCTAAACAAGGTTATGCCCCTGCATTTTCCAAAATGGGCCAATTTTATAATCATGGTGATTGTGATTTCAAGAAAGACCCTGAGTTAGCAAAACGTTGTCATGAAAAATATAGAGAATTAAAAGGAGAACCTAAAAAAAATCGTAACAACAACGAAAAAATACATGATCAATCAAGGGATCCTATCAGAAGACAACATACCAAGAATAGTTTATCTCTTTCGATCAATACCCCAGGTACTACTAAAATTCAAAATCAACGAAAACATAAAAAATTTCGTTCCGAATTTAGCACCCAACCAATGAGTCGTTCACAAAGTCATGGATCATTTGTATAAATATAGATGTACATTATTTTAGCATTTTTATAGACATTCAAAACATTTATTTTTTGCAATTACATATATGTGCATTTTTTTCGTTGTATATTGGGGGGAGATTATTTCATTCATTATTTTGTAAAATTAATAAAAATTTTTTAAATTTTGGGAGTCAAATATTTTCGTCTGTCATTTTATTGTGTTCCAAACAGATTAAGATTAGGAAATAAATTCCTAATTGAAAATTGGGAGGATATTTAAGATTGATTTCTGTTATTCAAAAAGTAAATAAAATATATTTTTTCTAAATATCGTTGACTTATTTTTTTCTCTCTTTACTAAATTTAATTTTTATCAAAAATGTCATCGTATAAAAATCAGTTTAGTGAGAATTCAACGCTCGAGCACCCAGTCAAAGTTGGTTCTTCAACAAGTGTTAATGATGTAAAGGATACCGAAATAAATGATGAAACAACTAGTTTATTGCCTCGACAACAAGGAATTGAATTAGTCAAAAAAAAGAAATTTTTTAGAAGAAATAATATTATCAAAGGTCTTATATTGGTTGCTTTCATTTCGTCATTTATAGTACTTTCATTGGTTTGTGTCTTCTTCCTAATACTTTTAATAATAATAATAATAATAATAATAATATTCTTATTATTATTAATCAAATAATGATATATACGTACGTACATGTAATTATAATAGGTTTTTAGAATTCAAGATCACATTAAAGATTATTTAAAATATGTTGAAATTCATAAGAAATATGGAATATTGTTATATTTAACTATTTATATTATTTGTGTCTGGTTTTTTTTACCTGGGTGAGATTTTTTTTCAAATTGTATTTTTTATTATCTATTATAATAATAATAATTATTATTATTTTATTATATAGATCTTTGATAAGTATATCAGCGGGATTCTTATTCAAACCATCAATATTAGCAGGGCTTGTTATTATTATTGGTGATGTATTAGCAGCACTTGGTACATTTTTGTTTGGAAAGTATATATTTTCGGATTGGGTGGTGACTCAAGTTGAAAAAAGACCAATGTTTAAAGCTTTAAATGCTGTGATAGCAGAAGAAGGTATTTACATTTCTTTAAAAAAACAGTTGATTTAGTTTCATCAATAATTTAATAAAGTTAATTGATGTTTAGGTTGGAAGATTGTAGTGATGTTAAGGTTGACACCTTTACCTTTTAATTTAATAAGTTATTTCTTTTCCGTGAGTTCAATTAATGTAAGTAATAATGATGATGGTGATGGTGGTGGTGGTGACGATGGTGATGATGCATTATAAATAACGGCGAAGAAAAAAATTTTTTTGAATGTTGATTAAAACCTTGTTTAGTTTTTTATTAAAGGATTATATTTTTCAAAATTTTAATGATTAGTTATTGACATTTCTTTGGGCAACTGTAATTGGTGTAATTCCAGGAACTTTTAATGCTGTATGGATTGGATCATTGGTTAAAAGTTTGAGTGGAATCGATAAACCAAATTTAGAAAAAAAAGGTATTATTTCATTCGTCAAGTCATGCATTCATCCCATCTTTAGCTTAATATTTTTTTTATATGATAAATATTCTTTTAGACATTGTCATTATTACAATGAATTTTATTATTGCTGCATGTTGTGTAATTGCATTGTCTATATTGGGTAAAAGATCTTTAAGAAAGGCAATGGTGAAATTAGAAGCTTCGAGAGACACAGAAGATGATCAAGGAAATCCACCAATAAATGTTCCAAAACGTATGATTTTTAAAATTAATCCTTTCAAAAAAATATTTCAAGAGTTTTTCAAAAAAAAAATAACATCATCATTATTATTATTCTGCACAAACAGCAAATATTGTGGTGGATGAAGAATCAATTCTAAATTCTAGAGCAGGAAAATTCACATTTACCGAAAAAATTGTTTTGACAGTTATAATAACAATTGCTTTTCTTAATGTTGCTATATGTTTACCTTTATATTTTTATTATAAATCAAACGAACAATAAAATATTATCAATTGTTTTTTGAAACTATTGTTATTATTATTAATCGTTAAATCAATTCACTGTCCATAGTCAAGATTTTCGCAACCAAATTCCTCGCGAAAATATAAACATTGAAGACAAAAAAAAATTTTCCAACAATTCTATAGAAAGGTTTTGTGCGTTAGCCATTTCCCTTTTTAGTAACTAGAATCTTTAATATGAACCTTCCATTTAAGGCAATAAAAAGTGGGGCCTATCACAAAGTTAGGTGTTACACGAACATGTAATTTTCCATCCAAATTCTGAAATTTGAAAATTTGATATATTTTTTTTAAATCATTATAATATGGGTAATAAAAGTACCAAGATAACAACACAGGATCGTGCCATACTCGATCTAAAAGTTCAACGAGACAAATTAAAACAATATCAGAAAAAGGTAAACAATTGATGATGATAATAATAATAATAATAATCAATCAAAATATAATTATAATTAGTACATATAATATGTATATGCATATTCTTTTTTATATAATTTATTAGTTTTCAATATAAATTATTTATTGTCACTTAAATAATAAAAATATATTATTAGATTAAAGTAGTTGCAGATAAAGAAACTGAAATAGCAAAGAAAGCATTAAGTCAAGGAAACAAACGAACAGCTTTATTAGCTTTAAGAAAGAAGAAATATCAACAACAATTATTAGAGAAAACTGATACACAATTATTTAATTTAGAAGAATTGGTTTGTATTTATGATATAAACACTTAAATTTGAGAATTGTTATTGTTCATGGGTTTGAAAACATTGGAATTAAATATTTTGTAATTATATTTTATAATTATTTATATATAATTGAAAGACACAATCTATAGAGTTTGCATTGGTGGAAAAAGATGTTTTTGCAGGATTAGAAAAAGGGAATTCAATATTAAAAGAAATTCACAAAGAAATTTCAATTGAAAAAGTAGAAAAATTAATGGAAGAGACTGAAGATGCTATATCATATCAAAATGTATTTATATATATGTATTTGTACTTGAGTGGACGAGAGAGATCATTCATACAATGAAATTAATGAATATAATGTTATTAATTTTCAGGAAATTGAAGAGTTATTAAGCGGAAAAATAACAGATGAAGATGAAGATGAGATTTTGAAAGAATTAGATAAAATTCAAGCAGAAGAAGTAAATTATAATTATAAATACTATGATTGTAAATTATATTTTTATATTAATTATATTTTTAAATTATATTAATAGTTTGAAAGCAAATTTTCCAAAGTTCCTGATACTCAACTTCCTACAGTTGAAGAAAATCTTGTTGTTGATCAAGGTAATTAATTGAATTTTCGATTCTATTTTTATTTTCAATTAATATTGATTAGATTTTCAATTTTTAAATAGAAGAACAATTAGAAACAAAATTAAAACCTGAAAAAGCAAAATCTAAAAAGAAACTGGAAACTCCCTTAGAGGCAGCTTAATTTGATTTAATTTGATTATGATATACAGCATATACTGAAATATTTAATATTTAATATTAGTATTTTTATTTTAATAAAATAGAAAAATAATACATTAATTACATAAAAAATAAAAAATAAATTATTGCAATTAAACTTTTAAGACAATTGTAATACTTCAATTTTATAATAACGAGATTAAATTTGCCAATGGTTTGGTAATTATGTCAATGAAAAAGATTAATTGATAGTGAACAGCATCAGAAGATGCATTAACCCATTCTCGAAGATTCAAACATCTCTATTTTGTATACAACTCCTAAAATGTGTTTAATTTGAAAAAAAACCGTTAAAGAATAATTATTCTAAATTATCATATCACATTTTTGAATGAACTCGTATTTATATTTATTTTTAAAAAAGAAATTTTTTTATATTATTTCTCTCACAACTCATCTATCAGCCAAACTACATTAATTCATCAATCGAATCAAATTAACAAATAAGCATTTCATTCACACCCATACTCTCCAATTTATTTTCAAGACCTGTAAATTTTTAATAATTTTTATTAATAATAATACAACTAGATTAATTGTAATATATAATATAAACTTTCATACCATTTTTTCTCAATATAACATTTTCTTTTGATATATTCTAAGCAATAATAATATGATAGAAAAGATAGAAGAAACATTTTATTATTATAGTTTATTGTAATTTTTGTAATATTTATAATAGAGAATTTTCTCTTGCTTTTCTAATATATATATATATATTAATAGTTAACAGTGATGAAATATAATTTAAAAAAAAAAATTGATAATGTAAACCAAAAAATGTTTAGGTATAAAAATAGGTTATTATTATAATAAAAAAATCAAAATCAAAAAGTTTTTTCTTTTTTAATGATTATTTATCCATTATAAAGTCCTACTTCCTTCTCACTCACAGCCGTCTTCTCCCAATTTTGTTTCTGATTTTTGTTGCAGTTGTTGATCACAATTAAGATAGTTACCAAGAATTTCTTTTACTTTTTCAATTCCTATCCAACCACATAAAGGTGTTTCACCAATAACATACTGTGTTTGTTTATTGAAAAAAAGTAACCCATCAGAACGATATCCAAAAGGATTCGAATCACTTATCAATGAAGAGATTTGTTTTGGAGAACAATTGAGAGGTGAAAGTGGTATAAACTTATAAATGGAATTGTTGACTGTTGCCATTGTTCCTAATGATGAAGCCGTAATTGGAGGGTCAACTTCATTAAATTTTGTAGTGAGCCAATAAAATCTATTTGATGATGATGATGATGATGATGATAAATAACTATTATCATTAAAAAAAATTATTGTTAAAGAAGATATGAATTAAATAAGCCAACCTAAATTCCGTATCACAGTCATAAATTGGATGACCTTTCCAACACATCATATCTAAGACATAAAATGTAAAAGTAGCTTGATCATAAACACAATCTAAAATACAATAATCAGTTGTTTTATTTCCTTTGTAATTGCTACCACCTGCCGGTAAATTAGATTCAAATACATCCATTACACCTCCTATATTTTAATTTTATAGTTATTAAAAATTAATTATTTCATGGCATATATTAAAAAAAAATTTTTCTCGTTCATTTCATTACCGTTTCTTAATCGACTCATAGTATTTCCTAAACGTAAAGTTTTATCAACCAGACAATTAATACCTTAATTAATTGAACACAATTAATTAAATTATCAATAAATTAATACCTTTTGCTGATGTGACAAGACAACGTTTACCAACCGGACATAACACTACATACCAATTCTCCTCTAAATCATTTGGTAATTCATACATCCATTCCGCATGCATTACTTGATTACTAGATTAACCGATAGAGTTGTTAATTTAACAAATTAAGTTTTAAAAATTGAGTATTATTCAAATACTATTATTATATAGACGATTTATTTACCTGTATGGATTTTTTTTTTTGAATTTTCGAAATGATCCTTTTTTAAATTTACCTTTATGCCTCGCTTTCTTGATTGAAATTTTATCATTATTTTCATCATCGTCTTGTTCTACTTCAAATCTACGTTTAATAGGTTTAGTAAGTAAATCAGCACTATCGATTTTCTTTTTTTCTTCTTCTATTTCTTCTTCTTCCTCGTCATCTGTTATTACTTCACTAAGTTTATACAAAGCAAGATTCCTAGCATGTGTGAAAAAATCACATTTTCGCTAAATGATTAAATTTGTTAAAGGAGATTATATATATAAATATTAATTAATATAACTAATTAATTACAGGAATTTCCAATCCACACAATATAAATGTAAACATATAAATAAACACGAGATGAATTATATACCCTTTTCTGTTCTTCTAAAGCTTGTTTACGTCTTTCTTCTTGAGTCTCTTTCTTACTTCTAGTTAGTAAAGGTGAGGCTTTATAATTTTTCGCTCGAAAAGTTGTTTTGTTTGTTGAGATCAAGTTATTTGAAAGTAACTCACTAAGTTCATCAATAGTAGATTTTGGTGTTTGTATTATTGCTGACTCGTCATTGTTGTTAAACCCGAGAAATTCTGCAGGTGCATCGACCTGTAAATTAGTTTTTATTGTGTCTTCAGTTGTAATGACCATTGGAACTCAAAAAATAAAGATATCGATCAATTATAAATTTTTTAAGGTAGGCTAATGATCTTCCTATATGAGACTAAATAAAGTTAGTTTTCTTAAATAGGTATCACACACAAAGAGAAAGAATGCTCATGTGTAATTTTTAGCTTTGCTTAGCATTAGAAAACAAAACTCTACCCAATTAATACCCAATAAAGATTTGGTATCAATGAACTAGTATCACATACTGCTATAAGAATATCAACTACATATGGATGGGCTCTTGAAAAAATTAATCAGCTTGGTACATGTATGAGCATACCATTTGCAGTTCATGGACATGGATCATCTTGTTGTTTATCGTTGTTGGATAGATATTATCATTTCAGAATTGACACTTGAGATATTGCTTAATAAATGTTTAGACGAATTTAAAAAACAGATTCATTGTTGATCATGCTAACTTCAAGGCAAAAATTGTGGATAAAGAAGTGGATCAAAGAGATTGGTTGAGATTCGAAATGATTGATTTTTTATTTTTAGAAGAAAAAAGTTTTATTTTAAAATGAAATACAAATTATTACTTAATATCTCAACCAACTATTAATTATTATTATTTTAATTCTCTGAATAAACGATTAATATCTTTTGGATCAAATTTTTTGGTGACTTTATTTCTATCTGGTAATTTACTTCTAACTTTAGTTTTGTCTCTAAGTTTATAACTTTTGCTACCACTACTGCTACCGTTATAATTATTATTATAATTATTATAATTATCATTATCGTTATCATCATGTTCATCTTGACTATCTTCAATAAAAGGTAAATTTCTTTTTAATCCCACTTTAATATTATAATTATATAGCTTTAGTTCTTGATTATTGCTATTGTTATTAGGTATTATCAACCCATTTATATTATTAAGATAACTAATGTCTCGGTATTCAAGGTTCAAGACAGCAATTGGTTGATCGCTTAATCGTTTCAAACTACAAAAACCTTTTGTTATAAATTTTTTCGTAAGTTTTGACTCTTTAAACCCTGTGCTAATTGCCGTTTCTTTAATATGATCTTTTTGTTGCGATACATCAAAACCTGGTACTTTCACAACGCCATATTCATGCCATTCTGCTTTATAAAAATGTACTGATATTGTTCCAGGTCCGCCTCCAGTATACTTTTTACTTTTTTCTCTCTGATTATGACTGTGATTAATGAGATCATTAATATTATTATCTTTATAAATATTATAAGCATAATCCATATCTTCTTCCTCGTCCACTCTTTTTTCCATTCTTTTATTTTTTCCTTTACTTTCGATTCCGCTTGTTTTTTCAACATTGTCATCACCGTTAATAACATCTTTTCCTCCTTTTCTTTCAATTCTTCCCCTTCGTCTCTTACTGCCACTACCAATAATATCATTGTTCATATTCGACGTAAAGAATTCAAAATAAAACTTCTTATCTCTTTCTTGATTCCAAAATCCATCCTCAACATAATAACAATTATCATAAATTTGGTAATAAGTATAATCCCAAACTCCATCAACAAACAAATAGGCTTTTAATGGTGTCGAATATTTTGCCTTTGTATATCCAAAATTTATACTGAATCTTTTATTTTCATCTGATTTACAGACTGCTGCGTATACTATTCTGTCACTTTTAGAAGTTAATAAGTTAGTTATTAGACGTGAAGATAAATATATAAAATTAAAACAACAATGAAATACTTAATTGATAGATGTATTAATTAATAAACGAACAGGCGGGCGGACGGACGACGAACGTACGTACGTTTTATGAATTTTTTCCGTTTCTTCGTCGTAAATATATGAAGGACCTGTAGTAGTTATCTTTATTCAAATAAGATAAAAAATCAATATTTTTGTAATACATATACGTCCACACATATACGATTATTTTTGCAATATTATATGGATTTTTTTAATGAAAAAAAATCGAATACTTACCGTTTTATTCTCTCTATATTTTTCACTATATTCTTTTAATGGTTCACCATTTACAAAAATTTGTAAACGAAAACCTTCCAAGAACATATTAGTTATAAGTATGAATTGTAGTATTTATGAATTTTTCAAATAATAATAAAGACGAAAATGTGTATTGGAAGAGAAAGAACTCGTTAGAGTAAAAAAACAATTTCAGATTTTTTTTAGATTTTGTTCACATGTAAAAAAATCAATTTACGTGGTAAATTACGCTTAAAGTAAATCATGTGGTACCTAAAAGAAACTACGAGTTACTTGAAAATTTGAGGGAAAAATTGGTTTAATTATATATTTAGTTAAACCAAACCAACAAATAAATAAATATGGTGATAACAATATATTATTATTATATGTATTTACACACATGTAAATACAAATTTTATTTTATTAATTTTTGAAATACTGAATGTCTGGCTGGGCTATGAATTTGATGAAGTTCATAAAGCAAAGAATTTGAAGAGAGGTAAGCAAATAAGCATTTAGAAAATATTTATTTTATTTTTAATTAGTTGAAAAAATTAGGTATTGTTAATCGAAAGCTTAACCATCAATAGAAACAAGCATATAAGTTACTTGCATTGAAATTGGTTTTTAATCACAAGAATCACCTCGCAAACAGATTCACTCGTTAGATCTATGACCTAAATTACCACAAGTATAAAATTCGACTGTGCCATTCATGCGAAATTTTGTTATATTAATATACACTAATGCTATGTTGGTTGGCTTTTGATAGCCTGTATCTTTAAATTCATCTCTAGCAAACGGACACAGAGACATTCTTAATTTAAATTCACAAAAGGGACAATTAATATAGACAGATAATATAGATAATATAGACAATAATAACAAGAAATTATTAACATTATTGTACCTTTTCTATTTAAAAATTTGCCAAAAACACCAATAATTGTTTATTCAATAGATAAATGAATTGATGGTACAAAGATATTAAACTTTATAATAAAATAATAATAATAAATATATATTTTATAAGGCCACATCCTTGAGTGGATTTTTTTTTGATATATCTTGATATGCTAAAAACTGGGTAAAGGAAATTAAGGTGATATTTAATATGCTCAAGTAGATAAAGTTTTTAAAATTATGCTGATTAAAGTTCCTAGCCGTAATTCCTGTCCCATTCGAATACAATTATGGATACTCGTAATTATTTCCGAATATTTGTGGATACTTCAAACACTCAATCATTTTGACAATACAAATAAATATCCAAAATTATAAGGGAAAAATTATTGACCAAAATAATTATGAATACTCGGAATGATTTTAAATATATTCGAATATTCATAATAATAAATAAATTTTGATATTGTAAATAAACAAAACATTGAACACAAAAAAAAAATTATTATTAATTAGACTTGATTTTCTAAAGATAAATACAAAAATTTTACAAAGATGCATTCTTTATCACATTTTAAAAATAATATTTATGAATATTTAGAAGCCTTACCAACAAACACTTTAGATAGCTTGTACAGAGAACCTGCTACATGTTTAGCTATTTTCAGGTAATTTATATATACATATACATTTTTTCTTTCTTTATAACACGAAAACCAAAAAATTTAATTTTTTCGATATATATAATAATTACATGTTATTAAAGGCTTTTACCACCATTAGCAAGACATTTTGTGATGACATTATTATTTATACCACCAACTGAATTAAGTATTACAAAGGATGATTTAAAACTAATGGTTAAAAATCAAGAGGAAGCAATACTGTAGGTTTAATCTTGATCAAATATAATTATAAATATTTTTTTATAGAAATATTAAAAAGAATTATGTTTTTAATAGCAGATTTGAGGAAGCATTAGAAAAATTGTCAAAATTACATATATTAATAGAAAAAGATGGAAGAATGATAATGAATCCTCAATTTCAAACAAGTCATCAAAACTGTTTAACTGGAGGGTAATTATCTTGAATAATTATTATAATTATTGTAAATATTTTCTAATTAAAATATTAAAAAGATAACTTTAAAAAAAAAATAATAATTAGAGGAGATCATCAGAGTTTTGGTACACCATCTTCAACACATGGAAGATATATACCAAATAATATAGTAGCATTTTTAGATAATTATGCTATGAAACAATGGGAAGAAATATTACATTTCATGGTTGGTACAGAAAATCGGAATGAGCCAAGTAAAGGTGTTTTAAATATATTAATCAGATCACAATTAATGAAAGAGCAGTAAGGTGTTTTTTCTTCAAATAAAATTTCTGAATAATATAACAAATAAATATATTTAAATTTTTTTATAATAATAGCAAAGGAGAATATGAAATTACCAATAAAGGATTTCAATTTTTATTACAAGATGTCAATACACAAGTTTGGGCATTTTTATTACAATATTTAGAATTAGCTGATCAAGTAATGTATATTTATATATTTATATATATATACTTTAATTATAATATATTTAAAAATTTTTATTATAATTTATATATAGATGTTGAATATGAATGTAGTGGAAGTTTTAAATTTTTTTTTCATGTTGGGAAGTTTAGAATTAGGAAAGGCATATTTAATTGATAAATTAACTGAAACTCAAAAATGGTTACTTGATGATTTAATTAATTTTGGTTTAGCTTATAGAAGAAAGGTAAAAATAAAATAAAATAAAAATGTTCCTTTACCCAAAAAATATTTTGTTATTTAATTATACTATATATATCGTAATAATAATTAAGAAAACCTCTTCAAGATATTATCCAACAAGATTGGCTACAACTTTAACATCGGGAAATTCAGCTATTGGATCCACTAGTTTAGTTGGTGGATCGTCGTCATCATCATCGTCATATGTTACTACTGGTGGAAATGAAAGCGGAGTTAATGATCAAGGATTCATCATTATTGAAACCAATTATAAATTATATGCTTATACTGGTAATTATTTTATATTTAATATATATCATGATGAATATATTGATGCTTTAATATCATTTTTTTTCCAAAATAAAAAAATAAAAGAATCATTATTACAGATTTCAGTTATAAAATTATTTTGTGAATTGCAAAGTAGATTTGCAAATATGGTATATGCTAATATAACAAGAGATAGTATTAGATCAGCTTTAAGGCACGGAATCACTGCTAATCAAGTATGTAAAATAACGAATAAATACGAGTTTATATGTTTTTTTTCTAATAAAAATTTTTTTTAATGAAAAAGATAATATCGTATCTAACAAGTCACGCACATCCACAAATGAAAAAACAAATGCCGTTACTACCACCTACAGTTGTAGATCAAGTTAGATTATGGGAGATAGAACGTAATAGATTGTCTATTGATGACGGTAATATATAAAAAATAAACAGACAACACTTTTTATTTATATATCATTCAATTAATTGATTACCTTTATTATTATTTCCAGGATATTTGTATAATGATTTTAGAACTCAAGCAGACTTTGATATGCTTTTAAAATACTGCAGGAAGCTAAATATAGTGCTATGGCATAGTGAACAAAAGCGTATGTTCTGTGTAACAGAGAAAGGTCATGAATATGCAAAAAAATTTATAAATAAAAGAATTGCTCAAAGAAAAGCCGATGTTGGTAGCGGTGTTGGAAGTAGTAGTAGCAGTAGTAACAACAGTTTAGGTAGAGTTGGTACTGGTAGTAATAGCGGTGGTAGTAGAATGAGTACTGGTGGTGATACTCGTGCAAGAGTTAATCCAAAATAATTTTTATTTATAGGAATTTAATTATTGTTATTATTATTATTATAAATAAAAAATTATATTTATATATATAATACATAGCAAAGAAAAAATATTACAAAATTTATTATATTATTATACAAATTTTAAAATTAAAATAATTAAATAACATCATCATTTCATCTTCTCCGCTCAATAAAGCATTTCTTCAACCTCCTCGTCCTCGTCATCATATTCTTCTTCTTTTTCTTCTTCTTCTTCTTCTTCTTCTTCTTCACAAATATCTGAATCAGGCTCACTATAAGAATGCAAAACAATGGATCCCAAAGTTAAATTTGAACCAGACCAATTGGTTGAACTTAGAATAGGTAAATAAGGGTGCCAACTAGCATCCCTAGTAACTGGTCTATAAAGTAATAGCTCATTACGACCATTATAAAAATAATTATAATAATTTTTTTGTTTCTTGGCTTTTGATACATCCAAAGTTTGAATTATACGTCCATCAAGACTAAAAATCTAATAATAATAATAATAATAATATTGATTAAATCGACTGTATATCATAAATATTAAGATTACTACTTACTCTAATACAACCATCTTCAGAACCTGTATATAAATAGCTATTTAAAAAAGTTATTTATTTATTAATTTAAAATAAAACTATATTTCTCCAACAATAATAATGTACCTCAATATAAAATTATTCTATATATAATTTTAATTATAACTATAGTAATTACCTGTGACCAGTGCTAGCAGGTGAGAAATGACAACGAATCAATGTCCTTAGTACACTATGGCCTCGATAAGTCATAACAGATACATTTTGTGGATGTTCAAAATATATATCTCCCGGATATCTCATATGCCTATAATCCCATTTTCTACGTCGAAGATTTACTGGAGGTAGTCTTTTATATTGGTCACCCGACATCATTTTTCTTATGTCCCATAATTTCATTTTTTGATCTTTGCCGTTTGATAAACAATATCTACCATCACCCTTCGATGATACATATGTCAAACCCTCAGTATGACCAACTAATACACCACATTCTTTTTCATTATGCATTGACCGTCGATCCCTACCATATAATAATATTAATATTTATAATTTTATAAAAAATTTTATTACTTAACGTACCAAACTTTAATTAAAGAGTCATCGCTGCCACTGAAAAGAACATGCGATGAATCATCAGCAAAGCACACTGCATTAACATGATCCCTATGGCCATCAATTTCAAGAATTACTTCTTTTCTTTCAATATCATAGACTAATAATGATAATAATATGAAGATTTCAGTGATTAATAATTATAATGAAAATAATAATAATAACTATAATACTAATTATAATGGGAATATCAATTATAATGCTAATATTAATTGTAATGATAATAATTACCATAAATACATCTACTAGAACCACCACCAACAAGTTCCCTAGAATCATTGGAAAATCGAATAGACCACAACTATTTAATTAATTATTTGATGAAAAATCAATAGTTATTAAAAAATTATGATATCTACTGTTATCATTCACCAATTTTACTATATCATTACTTGCCGCATATAATTCACCATTGTCAAAATCTAAAATTGTTTGATAATCTTCTTCAACATCAGTCTTTGCTAGACATACAGATGGTGTTATACTACTGTATGCTATCCATTTATTATCATTACTTAGATTAGCATCCGTTATCGTCCATCTTCCAAATTCCTCCTATTATTGTTATTAATAATATTGTTAACGATATTACTAATAGTGATAATAATAACACTAGTACTAGATATTAATTTACCCCGCTGATAACTTTAATTTCTTTAGGATCCTGTGGATCATTTGTATCATATATGCGAACACGAAAATCTTTACTACAAGAGTAGAATAATGAGCCATCTTGAGAATATTGTCCAGAATATGCAGGTTCAGCATATCGAATAATCACTTTTCCATTAGTGTTTGGAATGAATTTCTAGTAATGTCGGATTACTATTATTATTTGACTATTAGATTTTAAGGTTTTTTCCTTCCACACACACAAAAAACAATTAGCTTACTTTTCTAAATGGTAGGTTAGAAATTTCTCTTGGAACCAATTCACGTAACAATAATTGACTACAAATATTTTTTGAAAATAGTTTAATTCCATTCAATGTCTTTTCGTGCGAAGGACCTATCTATATATGTAAATATAAAATATCAATCCAATTAAAAAAATGCCCAACAATTAAAAATGATTTTCTTTCGTACATACTTTTGCACATCCAAATTCACCAGAATTGAGCAATCTTTTACCAGAATTAAATTCACCATTTTCACTATCATCGTCGTCATTATCAATAATATTACTTGAATTTGTTGCTTCTTCTTTAAATTTATTGAATTTGATTAGATTTAGATCAAATGGAAAAAATAATTCCAATTATTATTACCAATTGAATAGTCGAAAAGATTAAATAAACTCATATTAAATATTATAAAAAAGTTCAAATAGCATCCGGAGCCTGATGGGTCAATACTTCAAAATTTATTTGAGCTTCTGATTGAAATATTGATTGGAAAAATGATACCCTTAAGAAATATTAATGGATTTAATCACGATTTTCAGTCCAGTACTTTTCCAAATTTGGAAATACCAAATACTGCAATGATCAACATGCTAAATAGTAAATTTGCACTACGTAAAAATTTGATTGGCCTTTTTCTCCCAAAACTCACATAATATGAAAAAATTTAACTGTTCATAGAAGGTCTCCTGGATGTGTGTTCCCATAATCCATTAAAAACCATCAAAATCCATTTAAACAAATATTTAATTATTTTAATTTTTTATTGAATAGAATTTCATGGGTTTTTTATGAACAGTTAAATTTTTTCATATGGGGCATACTGCAACAAAACCAGACAAAGTGAACATTGGACCAAAAATTTCAGGGATCAAAATTTAGTCATTTGTAATGTGATTATAATTATCAGTTTTATAATATCCCATTTGTTATCTTAAGTGATATATAGAACTGTCCCTATATAAAAATATAAAAATATAAAATTATGAAACTCATTTATATCAGATCTACTATGGAACCCAAGAATTATAGCACCATTAGAAGTATTCTAAAAAAGGAACAAGGTGAAAAAATTGCACCTTACATTTTCAAAATAAATGATACTCAGACACTGGAGGCTTATCTAAAAAGAGAAAGGATTACCTATGAAATTTACCATGAAGAAAGAAAAATAATAAATGTTGGAAAAAGGAAGCAGCATGAAGGTGCATTATTATCCAACAAAAAGCAGGAGTCTTTGGAAGAAGGAAAATAAATCATATTATTACATGTTGATCCATTTTTTCTTTTTAGTCCTTTTAGTAATGTTGTATGTGAAATTGAAATTATGCGAATTCGAAATTCACATACAACAGTATTATAAAACCTAAAATTCTAAGACTAAAAAAAAAAAATACCTATAAAATAAGAGGATTTTATATATTTTTTTAAATCAAACAATGTAACCGATTATGAAGAATATATTATTCAATAAAAGGTTATAGAAAATCAAATCTTTTTGAAACTATTTAGTTATCAGTTGAGCTATTTGAAAACTTCACTGAAATCTTTTTTACATGATGGATTCGTCACCCTAGTTAAACTAATAAAGTAATGCAACAGTAGTACATTTTTATATTTAAAAAAAAATTTATTTATTTTATTTATTTGTTTATTGTTTCATTATTGTATATATATTTTTTGAGGAGATGAATTTGATTGTCGGCAATATGATGATGCACCAAGTAAATGTTGAGGTGAATTTGAATTAATAACAACAACAGTAGATTTTATTCTTTCCTACACAAACAAAATAATTAAAGATTACACCATGAAGAAACTTGCTCAAGCAATACAAAGTAATGTTATTAGACTTACCAATAATGAATAAAGGGTTGATACTACGGTAATTATGGTTAAAAAGTTTGCATTTTCCGTTGGTAATAATATTTTCGATGTCAAATTAAAACGGTATAAACCGTCATAGACCAAGTCCATTGTAAATATTCTAATTGTATTTCCTGTTAGATTTATATCTAGTTAACAGATTAGTCTAACCAAACACCAATTAAAGTTATAATATTGACAACCTTACCATAAATTAACATTCCATAAGTTTCAAGACCATCTATGTAACCATAACAATCTATTAAATAATCTAATGAGCCCTTCATAAACTCTGCAATCTTCACTATGCTTTCATTCATGGAAGATTTTACACATGGAGGTTTAACCTCACCGAATAAAATTTCCTTGTTTGTACCCCTTATTTTTGATAAAATCCAGAAATCGGATTTTCTACCACGGTTTCGTTTATCCTTTTTTCTTCTAACCTTTGAGCTTTCAGATTCACCGTTTGCCCTTTCATTTAATGACAAATTATGAAAATACAAGCATATGTTTATATAGTTGTGTTGCAAAATTTAAACCATGTGAAACTTACCAAACCAATGCAAAATCATCTTTATTAAATATTTCTTCAAGGATATTGTGATAATATCGATGAATGAAAGTGTCTTCATCCAGATCTTTATCACTATTGAAACTTACTGAAGATAGATATAAAAAACTGCAGAATAAATGGACATAAGTACATCATTACAATATTGTCAACAAAGACACAAATTTTAGAACTTACAAATTTCTTGCAACTATCTGTGCACAATCAAACATGTCTTTATCCTCCTTTGTTGATAATTCATTCCATTTTGACCAATTTCCGTGCCATTTTTCATCCAATAATTGCTTGTCATCCAAAATCTAAATTACAAACAGAACAAAATGTTTTATTATTTTACTAAGTGTTTGTTACTAACACACAGGAAAGATGATAGACAAGACTTACAAGACTGTATTCAATTATCATTTGATTTACAATAGATGGTAATGTCTTCGGAGTTAATGATATCGGACAAACATCATTCCATACCTTCTCTGAACATGTTATAAATTTTGATTTCGTCTCATTACAATATATTATTGATGATAAACATCTGCCAGTATGTGAAAAAGTTAATAATTAGTGTCAAAATTCCCATTAATTTGCATGACAGAATACTTACAGAATCTGATTAATTTCATTCACATATGAAAAAGTTGGTTTATTTCTCAATCGTTCAATTGAGTCCAATTGAAAATTTCGAAAATCAGCAGAAATATTGTGTCTGTCCTGTGTCAACCACTATGAGTAAGAAGAGATCAGGTTTAATACACCATAATAATTTTGCTATGAAAAAATAATTAATATTTACATCTTTTTCAGAGTCATTACTTATAAAAACTTTATCAATGACATGTGTCCACGATAATACAAGCTTTTTCTGATAGATATAAATTAGATTTGGTTCTAAAAAGAGACGTGTTAATAACTAACAAGAGGTAACTTTTTTTTAATTTGCATTGATATGTCTTTTATTTTATATAATGTATATTATTGAAATCAAAACGCGGAGCAGAACTTGCTGGGTAATTATAAGATTCTCATCATGATGGTAAACGAATGATTGGTACTTTGCTTTTCGTAATCAACATTAATATTAAATATATATATAATTACAGATGTCAAGGCAGCACACCGTTGAATATGAAACATTTCGAATATGCAATGTTTGATCGTCAGGAAATTTACAGACGTTGAAGCACGCACGCTACCTTGAAAACTTTACAGTCATTCTCACATGTTCCTTGTGTACAAAAGGTTAATCTGACTCACGCCTGATGATACAATGATGCAACTGAATTCCAGGGAGGGGGAAAGATGCCCTGGAGTTTATCAAGATTGCATCAACCGTCAATGACACTTTTCCCTAATCTTTTCTCACAGCACCCAGACCAGAGGAAGCTGCTAAGTTGCCTGCAACGATCCTACCTCTAAGGATGGTTCTGTGACCAAGTTGCAACTCTGTTGATGAATTGTAAACATATAGGTCTATTGAAGCAATAACTCATTTCAAGCACAGGATGTTGCAATTCAGAGCAAGGTTGGTGACCCTAAAATTGTGTTTGGGCTCTGATGTTAAAGAGGAAAGTTGTAAAATAGTGTTTGTTTTGTATAATTATTTCCTAAATTCTCTGTTTCTTTGATACTAATCAATTTATAATTCTGGGTAGGGGTTTTGCCCATTCAGTCCCCCATCCTATAGATTAAAATTATTGCATGATTATATATATCTTTGTCAGCAATATGGTCAACAAGAAAAAAGTTATAAAATGTTTCAGATTTTGATTGGTATGTTATGTATAAATTAATCATTCCCATAAATTTTCTGTTTCTTTAATTTTTATTTGACCAACTGAATTTGTTATTTTAATGGGGTAGGGTTGTTGGTGAGTAGATGTGTCACCAACAAGACAGCAAGCAACCCAGGACTCAAAACTCGGAATTCAGGGAAATCCAAAACAGCAACTTCCCAAGTTGCAACATCCTGAGTTGCAGACACCAACTTTATTCTAGAGAAGTATAACACAAAGCAATCATCCCAAATGCTGATCTTCATCAGCAATCAATGCCCATATGGCAACAACCAAGCCTAGTCTGAGAAGAAGATTAGGGAAATTTTTGCCCAAAGCCTTCCAACTTGTTCAATTCTCTTTCACCTGTGGAAAAGGTTCCATGGTGCTGAAGGGTGCTTAATTGCATGGCAATTGCATGTTTGTGATAGGAAAGTTTTAATTAAATCTGGTACCTGTGATCAACATCAGATTTATTATTCATAAGAAACCATACAATGGGAAGGGAAAATATTTTTTTTGATCCTCCCTATTTATTTATTTATTCTTGTGAACCTAGAGATCTGGGTAGACATGCATTATTAAAAGTTTCATTTCTGAATGGCCTTGGTATTATCACCATCTGGGTGATGCAATTGTTTGTTATGTCAATTATAGCATCAAATATATTGAATAATAATTATGACCATCATGAATATTTGATTGATGGAGGCATTCACATACAGGAAATGATTAAATAGCTAAGTCATGTTTGTTTTATTAAGATATATGATTAATTATATTTAAAAATTATTATTTTATTTCACCTTTGTAATGGCATTAATTTCAATAATTATGAAATTAGTGTTAATGATTGAATTAATCACACAGAATGATTGCTGAGTTTAAAATAGTGGCACGTAAGTGACTGGGGTGTGCGACATTCTAAGAAAATCAAAACTAATTAATGTCATATATTGATTGGTTATATGTGATTTTTTTTTGTGATCTGCATATCACTTACAGAATTTCCGAAATTTATGTAAAGAACATTGTTTTCAAAACACTACTCCTCCTCCGTTTTCAAAGATATAGGCATTAAATTTCCATGAAAGGCAG